CTACAGGTCAATGTATCATAATCAGTTTCATGGCACTATAAATTTTTTTTGTTAGACTCTGTTATTGAGAAAATTAGAACACATGAATGAATGAGCGAATGTCATCTTCACATATTTTTCAAGGCCTGTTATAAATGCTAGTAAGTTCATTAGAATATTTTCCTATTTATTGTATTTCTTGAGGTTGAGGATACCCAAAAAAATGCAAGAAATGCTTATCATTATTAGGTTCAAGCCAATAATAAATAACAAAGCATTATTATGACTTCATTTTTTATATTGTAGAAATCATAAGAAATAGGCTTATGTGTGGTTGTTTTTTATATGTTAATTAAAATTTTCTATCTTATTACAGAGAAGGTTTGGAGGTATAGCAATAACATTCTGTCCTTCTATAGACATTTACATTCTACCAGATAACTAGAATTCTAATTTATTACCAGCAGTTTTAAATCAAACATCACATCTCCTTTGGCAATACATTCTGTTAAATTTGGGATTATAATATCAAAAGTCAGTCACCATTTCAAAAAAAATGTTTGTTGCAAAAGTATAAATAACTCCAAAATACACACACCATGTTTATTGACACACAAAAACCAAACTTAAAACTAATTGTTGAAGGCTCAGCCATTCTATTAATGGGTGTTTTAATTTTGTTCAGAAATTTAGTAAAATTTATTTTACACCAAGGATTGGATTAGTGCTAAATTGTGACTTTTGGAGATGTGAATAAATGTGGTATACTGTAAGTGAAATCATTAATAGTTTTACTCTTGCATTGTATTTCATTATTGAAGTATGTTTGTACTTGAAAAATGGTAACTGCATGTATATTTTTAGTTTTTCAGGTTCATGAGCACAGTATGGAAATGACGAAGTTACAAAAATATTAAATTAAGTAAGTTATTTCTCAAATAACTAATAGTTAAGTCAGTTTGGATTATTTAGTTTAAAATCTGTTTTATAATAACCCTTTTGCATATGGGCAGAGTCAGTTTGACTGACCTTATAACCACCATGTAACCACGACACTATACAAACTATAACTCTTAACCCTCTTGCAACAGACATCTGTTTCTGTGCATCATTAGGTTTTAGTAAGTTACATTCAAAATTTAATTAAACTACTTTCTTTTCATGATGTACCAATAAATATATTATAAAAATGTAGCTATTAATCCATATTTTAATAGTATATAAGTCTTAAGTTTTTACTTTTATAAGGCAATATTAAAAACGTGTAGAATTTTTTCTCGTGTGAGAATTGTTACAATTCCTCTCTAGGCATCCATTCTTCTCTAATTTATTTACCACCTCTCCAAGAAGTACGAAATTTAACGTATATTACTTATATATACACACACCAGTTTTAATACACACACCAAGGATAAACTTGGACAGTGCATAATTTTTATAGCCCTCAATATTATCTTGTTACAGAGCCATCAAATCATATCCCCTTTGCTAAGCCCACCTGTCACATCCTCTCGTTCAGAAATTGCCAGTAGTTCTCTCTGCCATTCAATACTATATTATTTATAACCAATAGAAAGCCAAAGTTTTCATCTATTAAATGACATATAGTACACTGTCTTCTGTAAAGAGAATTGTCAATTTTACTTTAAGTTTTCAGTCAAGCTTGATTCCCATGGGATATACATCCACAACTTGGAGGAAGTTGTAACAGCTCTTGTTGCATAATTAGAAAGCCAGAAACATTGTGATAGCTATAAGACATTGTCTGCTTTTTGCATGTTATTGAGTCTGTGTTCTTTGGTGCATTATTTAATTAGATATAATTATTTAGTGCAATGGTACAATTAGTATTAAACAGTTTCATTGATGGCCGACAGCAAAAAAAACCAGACATAGATAAGTACTATATTTCTTGTTTTTCATGTGTGTTCTTTATTTATTATTAGAAAATTAACTATAATGTAAAAATATAAACCTAACTGGTATAACATAAACAAAAAGTAGTTTAATAACATTTTGAATATAAGACACTGAAACTTTGTATCATACACAGTAAAGGATAGGGTTAAATGAATACCAAAATTAAAGCTTTATGTTTTATCTGTTATTCTCTCTACCTAACAATAAATGTTCCTAAGTTATCAATCTACAGCAAAA